TGGAAGACATCCACTGCTGACCATAGGCCTCCCCCAAAGATTGCCAGACTAGCCGGTCGGATTCGACGTGCATCCATCGGTTATCCGCCCCACTGAACGCTTCCGGTTCGTGGTCTTCATTCGAGAACCTTTCTGCCCCAATATAGGTTTGTATTCTCCAATACCAGGAATTAAACGCAATGACAGAAATAAATACAAATTAAAAGTACCCTTTTCAAAATTGCAATTATTTACTAACAGCCCTCATTGTATGTTGATAAAAATTTATAATAAAATCCCAAATAAAATCAAAAGTAACGAAAAATACATAACGTTTATTAAACATCTAAAACAAATGTTAATTAAAAAATGCTACTATTCTATAGAGGAATTTTTCTCAGACAAATTCGAGTAGCTATTCGTATTCGTTTTAATATTATAATAAAATTTCGTTTAAAATAGAATATATTCGTTATATGATTGTAGATGCTATGCTATTACCTCGTTTGTGTATTTTAGATTACATAAGCTCTATGTTACAATTTTATAACTATATGTCTAGAGTTAAATTTATGTTTTAATTCCATTATTATTTGAATTGTATAGGTAGAAAATAAATATAAAATTATAGTTATTACAATGTAAATATAATAATATAAATGTGGTATGTGAATGTGTGAAAGTGAGTAGGTAATATTATATTAAGTTCCTCTCTCAAATTGTTAAATCTTGCAGTGCCCTAACGGGGTCCATATGAACACATGTATTTAAGTTAAGACCTTTTCTAACATATGGTGGCAATGAATAAATGAATATGAATATGAATATGACATAACAATTTAAATTTCGAATAGGTTGACTTGGGACATTTTTTTCGTGGTTTTTGTATTAGACCCGTCGTCCATTTATTTGTAAGTCAATGGTTAGCAGTGTATTTCTACGAACGACGTATCTAAATTAGTCAATTGTCAACCTCAAAAAGTCACAAACCAAATGTTTTCCCAAAGATTATTCTTCGGTATATTTAATCAAAATTTAAAGAGGCAGAGAGGCTTTTTTACAGACATGTAATCAATTTTCTACTTACCAAATATATTCGAAATAAAATGGAAAAAATAACTTCACAATATTTTGCGTAAAGACTGTTTTGTCCAGAACTAGCTCACAAAAAGTTTGACTCATGTTGAGTTAAACGGAGATCTTTTATGTTTCTTATTATATACCAACGAGGGACTTATTGACGTGTAGAAATTTTACATTCAGCACTAGCATAACCTTGAATTTTACGTATTTTGAATTGCAACACTATTGTAATAACAGTGCGACATCTTGATAATTGTGAACCCTGCTTCAATCGTAGGTTCAAACGGAAACAAGTTACATTATCACCTCAAATAAGATTTTGTTTATTTCTATCACTATTTATCTTTGAAAACTGTATTTGATACAAATCCTGAAGTATTGGTAATATTTAGAATACATAAGTTTCGAGTATATAACCAGAAACAGAGACGAAATGTCATTTATATTAAAAAACTATTCTGCCAAATGACAACTGGTGACAACTGCGCTCCGATTGGCTAGCCCGAATTCGAAATATACATTAGAGTTGGGCAAGTAGGTATATTATCGAAATCGATAGTCAAGATATAGATACATAGCATTATAATAACCATTTTCTGTTTTTTTTAGACGACTGACCAAACAAAGGAGCGTAATGTTTTCATGGTGAATATTGTAAGGAAATATCGTTTATTAATTCCTCTGTAAGTTCTGAATGTTTCAAAATATTTCTAATTGTGTAGTATTGTTAGAATCCATAGTCATTACGAATGAGCATGGCATTGGGTATCAAAAAATGTCAAAACACAATTTTGTACTGACAGCAAACAAAAAAATATATATAAATAACAATAAAACAAATGTTTAGTTTACTTTGTTAGAGCACAGGGGCAGCCGTGTTTTTTAATTTAATTTTTTTAATTCGATTTTATTATGCAATGAAATAGAAATAAAAATAACTAAAATGGTTTTGAGCCAGGTGAGGGATACAGGAAAAACTGACATGTTTAGTTAAACAAGCGTTTAAAGGTCAAACGGTACAAACTAGATACCTAAAAATACAGGTACTTATTTAATTAATTTGGGCATCACAAAACTACACTATTAGAGTTTTAAGATTTAATTGAATAGCTTCATGAAGATTGCATAATTTTTTTTTATTCATTGTAAGTGCGCATTTGACCTCCATCTCACCTGATGAAAAGTAACGATGAGGTCGACGATGAAGCATGCACCACTAGATAATGCCTATTCACTCTCGCCTTGAAAAGGTCCAAGTTATAACGTTCAGGGAACAAGTCTGCAGGCAGGGAATTCCACTCCATAGCCGTTCGCCATATAAATGTGGAAGCGTAACGCTTCGTGCGAATCTTTGGAATATCCACAACATAGGGGTGGAAGCCAAGCTTACGCCTAGTCCCCCGATGATGGAAAGGGGAAGGCGGAATTAAATCGTGTAATTCCATCGCACACTCTCCGTGATATATCCTGTAAAATACCGATAAGCAGGCTACTTACGGCGGTGTTCAAGGCTCTGCAGCTTCGCCTCTACTAATTCTGAGTCACCTATAAGCCTCTTGGCATGCTTGTCGATTGAATCCAAGGTGGCCAGTTGATATATAGCAGAGCCATCCCAAAGGCGGTAACAGTACTCCATACACGACCGGACTTGTGCTTGATACAGCTGAAACAACTGTCCCGGTGTGAAATAACGCCTCGCCTTGGAAAGGATGCCAAGCTTCCTGGCTGCATTTTTGGCCATGGATTCTATGTATGTGGCGAAGTTCAGATTGGACGACAGGTCCATTCCAAGTAGCTGGAGACGGTCGGCTATCGGTATGGATATATAACGAAAAGTCGGAGTTAGCTCAAAGGGACTCCGTTTTGTAGAGAATAGACACGCCTGCGTTTTGATAGCATTAAATTTGACAAGATTGGCATTGCCCCAATCAGAGCCTTGAGCGTCAAATCTAAACGGCTAACCACGGACTCTCGACAAGACTGATTTCCTCTCCACTGACCCTTGCATTGGTTAAATACCTACTTACGACTGTGCTCTCATCAGCATACGCAAAGGTACCTGGAATTAACATATCATTGATATGCAGCAGAAAGAGAGTTGTAGACAGTACGTCCAGCCGTTTTAGTGGGGCAGGGTTCGTTATAAACTCGTACATTACAATAATTCCCGCGCGTCTTTGTGGCCTGAGTACATCGAGTATATAACCAGAAATAGAGACGAAATAAGGGCCATATATTCCTGGTAACACATTAGCGATACAGCTCTTATAAATATCAACTCTCGTTTGCACTGAAATGTAGACAGGCCAACTACTGACCTGTGTATACGTCTCGGTATATTCCAAAAATATTTTATATTTATTGTAATAAAGATAATATCTCTAACAATTAAATATTAAATATGTATTAATTAATTTTTTTTTGAATTGATATTCAATTATGTTTTGTGAAATTCCTCTACTAGTTTGTTATAATTATTAATGGTACAAAGATCGAACACTCAGATAAAACACTCAGAAAAAATTCCTTCGATCCGGTCGGATTCGAACCGACGTCTACTTGCATACCGTGCCAGACGCTATACCAACTAAGCCACGGAACGAACCAACGGACCTCACGAATTCTTCTATGTGCTTGCGTCGTGTCTTTGTACTTGGTCTTTCAACGACTTTTTAGTCGTAGCGCCATCTATGAGAAATCTATTGCAGATTTATCACCCAGTTAGCACCTTTACAGCTACCTGTAAAGCTGTAAAGGTAAAGCTGTAAAGCTGTAAAGATGTACTTTCCTGGACAAACTCTTTCACAAGAAGCTCTATTGCTACTAAATCATCTACTGAATCTAAACCTTCTGCTGGTTACTGACGGTCACCACCCGAAGCTTTGCGATTTAAATTTTATGGTTTAAATTCTGCAGCTCAGTTTAAAGCGATGACCGACTTAACCTTTCTTGACTATAACTAACATGTTTAGATAGGGGTTACTACTATTGTAAGTTATGCAAAGATAATAAATAAATAAAAAGGCCTTATGGTAGCATATTCTGCAGCAGTCAGCATGGGCGTCCACAAGGTTCGGTTTTATGTTCATTTCTGTTTTTAGTTTACATGATAATGACTTTTATATTACCATTTTGATACCAAGTCGTGTGCCTGCTTCTAAACCTACGAAGTTAATCCAAAACAGACCTAGAACAATTAACACAGTTCACAATAAACCAGATTAACTAACAGTAGAACGAGTTCTTAATAAATATTATTGAAACAAAAAGAGACAAGCAATTAATTCATTTGCTCGTTTTGTTTCTTTAAATTTGTAATATCGCACTGCTATTACAATAGTGTTGTAACACAAAATATGTGAAATTCAAGATTATACTACAGCTGAATGTAAAATTTAACGCGTTTGTGTATTGCAAGAAACAATTAAAATATATCTATTTAACTGAAAATTGGACAATTTTTTGTGACCTATTTCTGGACAAAACAAGCTACTAAATTATTTTTCCCTTTTTTTTAAATATAATGTGTTGGAATTAGGAAATTGTATAGATGTCTGTAATAAACTTCAAACTATACATAAGTTATGAAACTATTTTTCCGGATTTAAATCGCGTATATTTGTTTTTTCAAACAAACCGACGTTCTGGGGCCCTTTACAGGTCCCACGGTCACGGTTGACTGAGGTGGTACCACCACCTACCACCACCTACCACCACGCGATCCTTATCCTCCTGATTAAATCCGGATGATCCTTATTAAATCCGGAAAAATAGATTCATTTCCTAACCTAAGAACTCGATATATACATAAGTTTTAACAATATTTCTCGGCAAGTGAATAATTCCTTTTTCTTTGTTTCTGAAAAAATACACTTTTTGAGTTAATACATTGTTATATTAACAATGCGATATATTTGTTTAGCTGGTACCTATATAATTGCGGCGGAATAATCTAGACAACCATTGTGTTGCATCATGAAGACCACCGGGCTGTTGGTATTGTTGGTGAGCAAGTTTTTTTTAATAATTTACAAAGCTTGGGATAAAAAATCGCGTCGTGCCATTGGCATAATAATGCCACACGAAAGTGCTTTTATGACATGAAATTCACAATAGTAATTTAAATAAATTACTCGGCCAAGGAAGTACTGCCACCTTACCTATTTGACCCCCATCTTACCTGATGGAAAGTGATGATGAGGTCGACAATGTAGCATGCGCACCTAAATAATGCCTATTCACTCTCGCCTTGAAAAGGTCCAAGTTATAGCGTTCGGGGAATAAGTCCGCAGGTAGGGAATTCTACTCTCTAGCCGCTCGCCATTTAAATATGGAAGCGTAACGCTTCGTGCGAAACTTTGGAATGCCACAACCTAGGGGTGGAAGCCTAGCCTACGCCTAGTCCCCCGATGATGGAAAGGGGAAGGCGGAATTAAATTATGCAATTCCATCGCACACTCTCCGTGACATAGCGGTAATGAGAGCATTACTATGTTCCGGTATTGTGCTGGCGAAATTACAGGCACATGGTGGGGGGTTGTGCAATTACGCGAAACTAGCATTTGATTCTGAGTCTCCATTTCGGTAATCTAGTGGCCAAATCAACTCCGCGTATAAGTCGTGGCAACCAAATCAGCGTGATTTACGGGAATGTATTGTTATCAGTCCGTAGACAACATACATTAATGCTTACTGCGCTGAAATAAAGGTCCGTTCACCGTTCACCAACATGTACAATAAAAAATTTTCTAATATTGATTTCTTTGACACCACTCTTAGTAAATTTAAAAAAAAAATGATGTTACAATTTGTAAATGACATTTAATGATTTTGTAGTCGCTTATTAAACTCTGTCTTATATATTTAATCAATGATATTATACTTTGTTACTCATGCTCACTTAATTTAGAAAGATTAATTAATGATATTAATGTAAAACTCTAGTAACGCATAAAACAAGAATGTTATCATTACAAATAACTCTATAAGATATGTTACAGCCGTTCTTATTATAATCTATTTATAATCTGCTGGCACTATAGGTCTATTTTAAGAGGAATATATGTAAAAAATTACTATTTCATGTATGACTGTTTGTTGCCACAAATAAATGAAAAAAAAATAATGGTCGTAGCCATTGAATTAACAAAGTAATAACGTTAAATCCTGTGAAATTAGGTTTGATGCGGATTGTGACGGGGGCAGTGGCAGTGCCCCTAAAATTTGATTTATTCCCTGTAGTTCCATGCACTCAGTTCCACATGGAACAATTGTAACATTAATACAAAGATCGAGCAGTCAGAAAAACATTCGGCCGGGTTCGAACCGACGTCTTCTAGCAGACTCTATACCAACTAAGCAACGGAATACGTTTCTTTGTATTTGGTTTTATCAACAACTTTTTAGCCGTAGCGCCATCTATGAGAAATCTATGATATTTCGTCACTCAGTTAGATACCTTTACAGCTACCAGTCCCGGCTAGAGATGTCGCTATTCATAGTATTTAATTTTTTTTTAAATTGATATTCAATTATGTAAAATTACTCCAATATTTTGTTATAATTATTAATACAAAGATCTCAGAAAAAGTGTTGCTTAGTTGGTATAGCGTCTGGCACCATGTATTTGGTATAGTTTGGTATAGCGTGTACCAACACGCTATGCCAAATAACTTGTTTACCAAATAATTTGTTTTGTGTGCTTGTTTTCTGATCTTTGTATTTAGTTTTTAACTACTTTTTAGCCGTAGCGCCATCTATGATCATCGGATCATATAATTACCGAGTTTTATTGATATCGGTTGCCGGAAAGTGCGCAAACACGGTTTCATCCCCTAGTTCGCCACTATACGGGACTTGACACAAGAGATAATAAAAATCGGTTCTCACTACTCAAAGTATATTGAGAGAAAAAACGCCTTGAATTGGAGTATAGCAACATCACCATTAAAATAATCGCTTTTATAATAAAATTTAGGCGCTATTTAGAAAAATGAATCTTCATGCGTGAACAGCCACCCTTAGAAATAAATGATTTTCTTCAAAATTAAATTAGACCACTTATGTAAATTAAACTCTTTCCAACAAAAAAAGAATCATGAAAAAAAAAAATTACTGGTGAACCGATTACATCCAAAAACATACATCCAAAAAAAGACATTCGCATTGAGAACCTTCTCGTTTTTTTGAAGTCGGTTAAGTAACATATGAATCAGCGTGAATAATTATCGGATAATTATGATAATAATTATTATCAATGAAAATAATTATCTACCGAACCCTGAAATGTACGAAACTTTTCAGAATCAGTAATTTAAATTTCGTCTTTTTTTTTTCAGGCAATCGTAGCATCGGTACAGTGCAAGCCTGCACCCGATACTGCACCACCATATTACGAAGGTATTATAATTAGAAGTATGTACAGTTATTTTCTCATTATACGGTCCACTCGTTAGTGGACCGTATAATGAGAAAATAACTGTACGGGTCTCCTCTAAGAAGAGGGTTAACATAGACAAGAAGTGCAACTCGCCTTCAATGCCTACACGTCATCACTGCACAATTTTCCGACCGAACCGACTGGGGCACGCTCTTGACGAGGCAGCTCTTTTCGAAACTGCGCAAGTGGATCCCAGGCATCGAGTATATAACCTGAAACGGAGACTAATAATCTCAGTACAGAGCACTAAAAAAACCGACCTCAAAAGTACGCGGAATTACGTCTATTTGCTAAATTTTATTGAAATATCCCCTAGTTCGCCACTATACAGGACTTGACACTGGAGATAATAAAAATAGGTTCTCACTACGACACTACTCAAAGTATATTGAGAGAAAAACGCCTTGAATGGTAGAAATAGCAAAATCAACCATTAAAGTAATTGCTCCTAAATTAAAGTTAGGCGCTATTTATAAAAATGAATCTTCATGCGTGAACAGCCACCCTTCGAGGTGGATGATTTCCTTCAAAACGAAATGGGACCACTATGGAAGTACCCCCTTTCCAACAAAAAAAGAATCATGAAAATCGGTTCACAAATACCAGAGTTATCGCGTAACCTACATACAAAAAAAAGAAAAAAAAGAACATACAGTCGAATTGAGAACCTCCTCCTTTTTGAAGTCGGTTAAAAATGGGCCATATGGGCCTTATATTACTTTTAAATAACAATTCTCGTTTGCGTTGGTATCACAAATTAGAAAGCTGAAATAGTACAGCGCCAAGAACTGACCTTGTGTGTACGTCTCCGTATATTCCATAATCTCAGTACAGAGTACTTAAAAAACCGATCTCAAAAGTACGTGGAATTACATATAATTACCAAGTTTTATTGAAATCGGTTACCGGAAAGTGCGCAAACCCGGATTGATCCCCTATTTCGCAACTATACGGGACTTGACACTGGAGATAATAAAAATCGGTTCTCACTACTCAAAGTATATTGAGAGAGAAAAACGCCTTGAATTGGAGAATATCAAAACCAACCATTAAAATAATTGGTTCTTAAGTAAAATTTAGGCGCTATTTATAAAAATGAAAGTTCATGCGTGAACAGCCACCCTTAGAGGGGTAGGTTACAATAGGTCCGTAAAAAACATACCTTATAGGTTAGTCTATACATACATAATAATATGATAACTTTTATTCACACGTATGGACTGCGACGTGTGACGCAACGTGTCCGATAGCCATCCTCGGAAACACCGGAACATAAACTTTTTAAACTAGAGGCTATATAAGCGTGATATACACAAAGAGCAGTTTTTTGTGAAGTACTCCCAGGGAAGTTACTCACTGCGAGGGTACCACCAGTACAGGAAACCTTAGAGACCTAATAATTGGTGGGGTGGTTCGGATCCAAATCACAAATATGTTTGTTTCTTCAAACAAACATATTTGTGCATGCAAGCAAGCATTTTATACAGATCTTATGGTCACGGTTACCAATACAAATATTCTTTATTGCCAACTGCGACAAATATAAAATAACACAAAAAGTAAAAAGACAGCCACAACAGGCGGCCTTATTGCTATATAGCACTCTCTTCTAGGCAACCTTCGGGTTACAAGAAAAGCTGTGAGGTAATAATTAATTGAGGGCGCAACAGAATACGTATTTACATCACATATTGCACATACACAAATGGAAAAAAAAAATAAAAATAGTCTAAAACAGAATTCCAAAACAATAGTAATAAATAAATAAAATACTTCAATAAATAAAATAAATAAATAACAAAAAAATACATATGATTCATTGTCCTACCAATAAAATGATATGATTACACAAAATGAAGTAGGATTATATAGAACATATTAATAACAACAGAGAAAATCTCAAACAGGTAAGAATAAGAGGAAATAATAACAATGAGAGCTTTGAGTAGAGTTTTGAAGGACTCAACAGACGGCGCATCTGATCGACTCAGGCAGAGAATTCCACGCCACAAATGTAGCTGGCGATCCTGCTCGATGCGGCACGAATTGTTTGCCGGTTCTTGAACCTGAGTCCCAGACCCTGGCCGACCGTGCCATTAATAATATCGACTGTGAACTGGCAACTGGTACTATCTCAATTTAGTTAATTTTACAGTATGAATACAATAATTGTTTGCGTCATTTATATAGCATCTGGTTAGAAGTTATACAAGTTGAATGAAGTCAATTCTGGCGGCAAAATTAAATGTATCTAAGATGGAATATTTTGCGACGCTGCGGTGTATGAAATAGTATTAAAAAGTGAAATCTTTAGAAAATTGAGATAGTACCGCTTGCCAGTTCAGTCGATAAGCTGGAATACCCGTCTAAAAATTCAAATTTTTTTTTTTAGGCGAGGATCTAAAATAGATAAATAATAATAAGGCACACACTCATAGTAAGACCCTGTATATAAATAACTGCTTCGGTGGCCTAACGGTTACCATGCTGGACTGCCACGCAGAGGTCCCGGGTTCGATTCCCGGCTGGGAGAAACATTTGTAAGGCCCTCATTTACTTCGATGTAATTTGTGGTTGTCTAGGTCTATCCATGGTAGAGCTGGGTTATAACGTCTTTATCGAAAAACGAAACGAAACGGTTATTTTCTAAAAAAAAAGCTTCCCAGAAAAACTTACAAAAAAAACGCTTTTCCAAAAAAAACTAACCTCCCTTCGTACTTTTCCAGGCCTATATAGAACTGGTTGACGAAATGTTCAAGCGTACTGTAGGCGGTTTAATATGTCATACAAATATCAACTGAATGGATCTAGCATAAGATCCATTTTAGCAGTGAAAGAACGGTCGCGAAACAGTCTCTAAAACTGTTTTCGGGACTTTATAAAATGTAATCTAAGTTAATGGAATAAAGTCTTTTGTTCTATAACGCATGATTTTAACGAATCACGAACGAATGAACTGCTTTCTATCCAGTCGCACACAAGTAACATAACATATTTGCAGAACGTAACGCCATTGACAAATAACTACATACAGACATAACTTGCAGAGCGTTTTTTTGTTACATTGAAAGAAAGCGTTTCTTGAAAAGCTTTCGGAAAATAACGATACAAGGTTTCCCTAGTGCAGAGTTATAAGTGTGTGCGTTATTGTTTTTTTTTTTGTGCTTTGCGTGGCAAATCAGCATGGTTACCGTTCGGCCACGGAGGCAGTTAGCAAAATATACTCGATTTAAATCCGAAAAAACCTCGATACATTATGTAGATAGCCAAAAGATGAAATTTTTTGTTTTATTTATAACTCTTTTATATTACAGGCAAGTCAGAGCCTTATGGAGAATCAAATGCCAACCAAGCAAATATCAGGAACCAATCAGGTTACGGTGATGGTAGCAAGCTGCATGGAGATAGCGTTCAAAAAGGTGAGGCAGACAATCTCAACCAGGCGGATTTGTACAACCAGTACACAAAAGGTAGTCATAGCAAACAGAAGAATAGAGCTCTTCAAGAAGGTGCAGGAAATAATGTGAACCAGGCTATTAATGGCAACCAGTATACGGTTGGCGATGATGCTCAACAGAATACTGCTCGAAGCCAATATGCTACAGGAGACAACACAAATCAATACGCTTCAGGCAATCAAGGTGTGATTGGTGACAATAGTAAGCAAAAATTTGCTGCTGAACAAAATGCATATACAAATAATGAAAATGGTGAGAATATCGACAGAAGCGCTTCTTTGAATCAACAGAAAGTAAAAGTTGATGACGATGATAAGAAATCATCAGCCCATGTTGACCAGGTCAGCGGAAGCGATATTTACTCCAAAAGGACTAATGAACATGGAACCACTTCAGACAGACTGAGAACTGGCACGAAATCATCCGGTACCACTTATGTTGATGATGACAGATCGTATGCTAATGTAAAACAGCAAAGTCAGAGTGAACATGTTTCTAAAGAGGATGAACTATATAAAGATGGTAAGAAATCAACTGAACATGTCAACGGTGTCGACAATAAATCTTCAGCTACAAGCGAAACGACTGACAAAGGCACAGCGCGTAAAGCTGAACAGTCAACTAAAACCAACCATTCTGATAAAGAAGTAATTGACAGACCTGGTTTCCATTCTACCGAAACTTCTTCTTCAACTTCCAGTTCTAGCTCCACATTCTCGGACTTCCACAGCGGCGATGATGCACCAGGAAGTCTAGATCAAGCAGATCAAACTCAATCAAACATAGGCCATGATTGGACTACTCATAACATCGCTAAACAAAACCTGAACCATGTTAAAACCAGCAGAGGCAAAGCATCAGCAAAGAATAGTCAACAAAATCAAGATTCGCTAGCAACAAATAATGAGCAAGGCTCACACCAGGCTGCCGCAAACCAACAATCAAACAGCCAATTAGAATCAACAAGGAAAGGTTCCGAAGCGTCTGGAAATCAACAGACTTCGGTTGGTCAATCAACCCATAACAAGGCTGGCACCAACAACCAATCAATCCTTAACAATCAATCTGCAAACAGTGATCCACATGACAGCGGCTACTCACATCCTTGATCACGAAAGTCACTTTTAGTTTAGATGACAGTCAAGTCAATAACAACATTTAAATTACCAACCAGAAAAATTAATAAAATATGACATATTCTTGAAAAAAATTTCAAAATTCTTTTATACTTACACTCGACTATGTATTTTTTTCATTTTGGCCTTTAAGATTTCATTGTTATTCATTAAAATTATAATCAATATATATATCTCTCTCTTTCTTGTCATTCCCTCAATTGTCTGAGGATCGTAGTAACCTTCGTACCTTTCCTAAAACTTGATTAGAAAATGACACATGTCAAACTTCATGATGGCGTTAGTGTTGGGTCAAGGAAAAAATCTGTTTTTTCAGAAAAATAAATATTTTTGCGGATATTTCATCATCAATGTTTTTCCTCTATTTTTCCACATTTGACGTTAACACCTGTCAAAAGTTGAAGTTACTGCACGAAAATGATGGAGCGAACAAGAGGTGGTGGTGGTGTAGTTGTTGGAGGTTTTTTCAATGTGAAAAAAGAGATATTTCTAAACGTAGAACATAATATGAGCATTTAAAATTATATTTTTCCAGTTTTTCGAGAATTTTACAAGAAAAAATTCATTGTTTTAAAATCTTTCGGAAAATTGTCCAACAGTAGATGACCAATATCACAGCAGTAAAAGCATCATGATATTCAATAAAGATAAATGTTGCAATTTTATTATTAATGCGACATCTATGTATCCTGGTAGCTGACCTATAGGACCTGCCAGATAAGAAACTTTCATAAGGTCTCTTAGTTGGCGCTACGAAAAAAAAGCTTATTTTTAAAACCGAATGCGAAGATTAGCAAAGGGCAAATAAGGTATTCGTAGATCTGCTGGCTCAAATAGAAGTTCGTTGGGCAAACGGTTTTTTCCGGCTTGGATGAGTAGACGGACTCTATATTTTCGATGTTTTCCAAGATATGCTTGACATATCCATAGGAAATGAAACTATTTCTCCGGATTTAAATCGCGTATATTTGTTTTTTTCAAACAAACCAACATTTCGGGCCCTTTACAGGTCCCATGTACCAATCATGAAAATTGGTTCACAAATACCGGAGTTATCACGTGACATACATACGAATAAAAAATAAAACCTAAAAAACATACAGTCGAATTGAGAACCTCCTCCTTTTTTTTAAGTCGGTTAAAAATCTAAATTAAAATAATCTTTATTTGATAGGTAAGTCTTATTACACTTGAAATCGTCACATTGGTTAAACTCTACCGCTCATTCGTAAGCCAGATTCCCCTGAGAAGAATGAACAAGAAACTCTAGGGGTTGCTCTTTGTAAACAACATTTGTACGCATTCAAGATTTACAATATTTTTTGTTTTTGCTTTCAAACATTAGAGATAAACGGGTTACTACCACGAATTTTTGTCATCCAAGTACGCAGACGTATAATAACCTTTAGTTTGTAAAGTTTTTGTTTCACTATAGTTTTAAGCTTCGTGAATGGCAAATGTTGTATATCAACCGGAATCTTGTTATGGAAGCGTATATAATAACATTGCCCCTTAAATGTGTCTGTGACTTTGTGAAGACGACTATTACGAACAGCTAATTTATTATTATTAATCGTTTATTATTATTCGTTATGTCTATCACTATTTTTCATAAAGAAATTCATGTGACGCTAGTGTAAGAATGTTAATTTCCTTAAACTTATCTCTCAAAGATACTCTGGAGCCCAGATTGTAACCGCACGTTTCTGCAGGACAAAGTTTCTTTGATAAGTAAACAATCTATCGTTTTCAACGCCTGAAAGTTATATAGAATATAGATGTTATATAGAAATTTTCACTCTATTTTTTTTCTCATTAAAGAGTAGGTTATTAACAGCAAACCAATCAACTACTTTAGACATGGCATTGTTTACATCTTCGTACGAACATTGGTGCCTTTTACTTTAAATAATAAGGAAGCATCGTCAGCAAACAATACTATCTCATGTTTTATATCCTCCATGAGGCTAGGTAAGTCATTATTATAAACTAAAAACAAAAATGGGCCTAGAATTGAACCTTGAGGGATACCCATGCTAATTGCAGACCCTGATGATCTCGTACCGTTAATGTCGACCCTCTGTACCCTACCACGCAAATACGATTTAAGAAGATCGAGGTCACATCCCGCCACACCAAAATGGCGAAGTTTCCTGATCATGGTGCATACAATCAAAAGCCTTGGAAAAGTCGCAGAATACACCAATAGAATTACGTGATTCTTCTATACATCAAATATAAGTTTAATGAACTTAACACCAGCATCCGTTGTAGAGCGACATCGAGTTAAACCAATATGTTTAGGAGACATTGAATAATTATTATAAAAATTTTGAATTTGATTTAGAATATTTTTTTCAAATACTCTACTGAGAGTTCGTAGTATTGAAGGTTCCACCGTACAGTCTCCTCATATATTTAGAACTGGAAGGACCCGTGGCTTAGATACTTTCTGATGATATGAAGTACTACTAGATACGCTAGGTAATATTTTTGATTCGGCTGTCATTTTTGCACTCCAAAACAGAACAATAAGACATTTTTCTGCATTTTTAGAGAATTTGCGCGAAAGATCTTCCATATCCATATCTTAAGAGTCTATATAACCTTGTGACGGTGTGACCTCCTTACACCGTCATCTCACCTCTTTGTATCGCCTCTCTCCTCTTGTATCTTATCATTTTTTTTATTTTACTTGTAATTAAATTTTAAATTTGAATTGTTCCATCTTCCTTCACTTTCTCATTTTGTTTTCGTACCACGCTCACTCCCAGCTCGACCGCCACAACAGTCAGAGCTGTAAATAAGCTAATCATGTGTAATAATTTATAAGTCTACAGCCTTCATGTATCTATTTCTGTAATTCAGTTTCTCGGCCCATTTAGGGGTAAGTGCCTTAATAATAAAGTGTAGGGACTGTTTTATACTGTGATACCTGTTTTTTTTACATTTACCTTTATATTGTTACAGCCTTTCTTTAAACTTTACTTCTTTAATAAATTTTGTGGACCGGAAGTTTCCCATTTCATTGCCGTGAACCTGTTCACGGCTAGTTAGGGTTACAACCCTTTCAACCTCAAATGGCTTTGGTTGATTCCGCACAACAGTGAGTGTTGAATCAATTGCTTTGGCAAGAGGGCTGGGGATGAGAGTCATTCCGCTGCTGTATGAGTGCCCGCTATACTCGAGTCAAGCGGCGTGTCACGATCAGATGGCAAACGCCCGGACGGAGTGACTCTCATCCCTTGGAGTGTGAGCCGGGTACTAGCATAGACCTATATCTATGGGCACTACGGACTACTACTACGGATTTCGGACGCCAAATGCGCCGACACACTTGCCCGATCCCATCACCAGCACACCAGCAAGAGGGCTGGGTCTGCAGCTGAGCTGGCGGAAAGACTAAAAAGTAATAAGTACCAGGATCTCGGCTCCTATTACCTATTTATAGACTTTGGAGTCGAAACCCTTCATCTGTATAAAATTTTATCTAAAAAATTAATAAATTGTCTGGGAAACGCAAGGGCTGGCAGTTATCTTGCCCAACGCATTAACATATCCATACAAAGCGGGAACGCTGCCAGCATCTTGGGCACCTTGCCGCGGGGACCCAATTTTATTCATATCATTTAAAAATCCTAGTTTTACTTTCTAGTATTTAATTTTTTTACCTTACCCGTACATTATCTAAATAAATGAGACTAAGTATTACTTTGGAAAAAATATATAGTACAATTGTGGTTATGTACGGTGAGTAATACGATTCTTAACAAATTTCACGATAGAAAAAATAACACAAACTTACCGCGAAATTTTACAAGAAAACCTCTGTATTCAATAAGTACTTAACGTATATATACCAATGATTCTTTTTATGTCAACTAAAGTAAATAGAACACGTTTAGGTACATTATCATTTTGTTTCCAAAACAATAAATTCTGAAATTAAACTACAATTTAGTATTCAAATTCAATATATAATATTAGTAGACTATAAGGACGACGCATCTTCGACTCGCCATTGGAGAGCAGGATACCAAAAAATTGCAATGGCAGTTGAATAGCACCTCTATGGCTAGCCACTGACAAACCAGGGGGCCTACCACAACCTCTTAAAACAAAATTACTTTAACCTTATACTGACTTTTCCTATCGGTCCTATCGGTCGGATTCGAACCTAAATTACGTTGTTTTCAATAATTATTCCGCATTTTCATGACGAAAAATAAATAAAACAAGCTGACTTGTTTTGATAGTCACGTTGTGAATTAGGAACTATAGTCCAGTGTCAACTGTTAGTTTCGCCAAGGAGCATCTAGATGGCGCTGTTATAATTTTACGAAATAAACATGGCGTATTTTTATTTAACGAAAAATTATTTACTATGTGCATTGACTTACAATTATATGGACGTCGGGTCCGCGCTAAAAAGTGTCCGCACTTGTAAGGCGCTAAAATCGTATACAGAGCGCCAAACTCCGCTTTAGTCTTCATTTGTTCGACTGACAGCGCGATACTGCGATGACATTACAATTTAAATTTCGAATATGTTGACTTGGGACATTTTTTTCGTGGTTTTTGTATTAGACCCGTCGTCCATTTATTTGTAAGTCAATGACTATGTGCTATTAAATAAAAAATAAACAAAATATTGGAGAGATACATGTAAATAAATAAGTTCAACTTAACTTTTAATTATTACAAATCAATATTAAGACAATAAAACTGAAAATAATATTGTTTCCGTTGCATCCGTGTAACTATTTAAAGATTGCTAAATTTGACATAAGAGCAACATTACTTTAATGTTAAAGTCGCGTCATAGTACGAACTGAGTGATTGAATAGTCACAAAGCTGCCAATAAAACATCATAGTGTTAACATTACAATAAGCTTACTTTAAGCGCGTGGTATGAAAAACCGATATAAGGTTAAAGTCATATTGTTTTAAGAGGTTGTGGTTGGCCCCCTGGAAGTCTATTCCCAAAATATACACACCCCGCAGCTGCGTACGAAATAAAAACGATTCGTAAGCACAAACGCTTTCGTTTCGGGCTTCGGACTCCATAGACAATAACGGACCGGTAACGTGAATGTAAAAGGTGAATGGTGAAACAGGTTCTTTTACACTTTT